TTCTATCATATGCGGGTCCGAAGGTGAGCGTTTTGTCGGATCAAGTCTAGCATTTGACTCGTATGCGTTATCATATGTGAGGGTTTGGTTTGATGTTACGTTCAGCAATATTGAGAGCGCTTTGACGCCATGTTTGATGAGAGAGAAAAGAACGAACTTTGCTGTTGTACTGAGCAAAATTATACCCGAAAAGAGGGTGCGTTGCGGGAGCGGACCACCTTATATATATTCATCGTGGTCGGGTTGGCTCATGATGACTCGGCGGTAGTCGAACGCCAGAGTCGAAGACCCTGGTATTTAATCCATAAAGTTCGTTTGCGACATGATGGTGTGTGAACTGGCACATCTACATATGTACATATATACTATGGTAAGTGGTACTATCGTATATAATCGAGCCAGATCCAAAAAGGATTTGACAGATTTGGGGGGTACAAATTCTTGATTACAAAAATGGAGCTGATCTTTGCCAAATATACGAAAATCGTGAAAATATGGATATTTCTTTTTGGCTGCCAATTGGCTCGTAGGACTGTCCCGATCACGAAAAAACATTACACGACAAGATATAGCGTACAGAATAAACTCAGTATTTTAATTATTTGCATAGCGAAAGTTCGGTGCGCTAGGCTAGGTTGATGAAATCACATGCAGTGACTTGGTCACAACTTGGCTGTCGCTATAAATCTTTAATTGAGTTTTGAACTGTTTGAAGGCCGTTCAAAGCTTCCCTAATTCCTACTACTTCCGCCTGGACGACGTTGTAGTGACCTGGGAGCCTGAGTAGGACCTTATGTTAAGCTGTGCGTCCTCCTCCGACCTTCCTGCCCAGCTTCGATCCATCTGTGAAGATGCTTAGGGCCCCATCTGGGCCAGTGATCCCTCGAGCCAGTCGTCTCTGTGAAGGCAGTACTCCGTTTCTGTAGCGACGAATATTTTGTTCATTGAAATGGATGAGTGACCGATGTGCTGTGATGCACATTGGTCTGAGTGTCGCAGACGTGTTGCTGCCATTTCCGCCGGCTACTTTTTGGATACTTCAAGGCTCTGAAGGCATAGAATGTCATTAAGCACTTAATTTTAGGTGGTGCGGAGCAACTTTGGCGGAACAGTACTTTGGTGATAGTCTTTTTTAATAGTGCTGGCCGTGGCCCTCTTCACTTTCTTCTTTGATGTCAGGTTCGAATTAAGCTGCTTGTCAGTTACCCTTCCTAAGTAGCTAGCACTGTCGGGGTGGAATCTGTACTTATTTTAAAATAGCGCGAGTTCCGTTTTCGAGGGATCAACTCCCAGTCCATGTGATTTTGTCCATTTTGACAGTCGCGCGAGCTTTGCGGTCATTGAGTTACATAGGGTATTTTCACAAGAAGATAATGGCAAAGTCGCATAGTAAGGCCTTCACCGAAATCGGGTGTCTCTGATGTAGTTTATACTGATTTTAGTAAAGCTTTCTACTGAGTAAATCAATATTTTTGTGTTTACAAACTATAGCTTCTTGACTTTCCGACTAAACTACTTCTCTGGTATTCAGTTTAAACATATTTTTACCGAATTGAAATTCCTCTTAAGATTGATAAATGTTGTGTCTTGACTTTCCACTGCAAAAAAGCCTTAACTTTTCGACTATCTAATTGATAATTGTATAAAGTTAATGAGCTAATACTCAAAGTTAATAATCATTATTTATTTAAATTTAATCTCAACATGTTAGGCTAGTGGCGCTATTGTTTCAATCAAAATGACCCACCGGGTCAGAGTTTTTGCCACAGTCTGTTTTTACTTTACTTGATAGGATATGTTTATATATGTTACATATGTGTATTAACTTAAAGCCCTTAATCAATTACTATGCAGAAGAGAAACATATGAAAATGGAATGGCTTTATATGAAAAAGTATTTAAAATGCTAAAATTTAACCAATAAAAATGAGCAAGTACTTACGAGTAGGTTCGGGTGTCACCCCTGTTTTATTTTGTACTCATAAGATGTGACCAAATTGATATTACACGAACATATTCGTATCTACTCAAAATATTCTGAAGAGTCTATCGACTGTAAAAATGTTTTTAAATATTTAGTAAAGTGGCTTTATAAAGCCGAAAAAAAGGAGGCTTGACAATTGTCAGATTTGATACATCCCCTTTCTGTGAAAATTTAAGCGGGGGTGGCCAAAACCGAACCACGGCCACGTCGAACCTTTTGCCCTATATAATCTATATTTATTTTATCCTTAATTATACGTAAACGCAGAGATTGGCATCGGAGCCGATGAGTTTCACATGGTCTCTTTCTATCATTCCTATTGCTGTGCGCAAAAGGGACAGATTGATTTGTTTGCAATCCGTTCGCTTGACGAGGAAACGTGTGAGAGGAAGAGAGCACGTTGTCAGCAACAGGAAAATGTTAAGTTAATTCTGGCTTAAATACTGATCCGACCAGATACATATTCGGCATTGTCATAAATACTATTATTCTCTATGATTCTGCGTTTGGTTAGGTTTTTGTATTTCTGTCTTTGCCCTTTGTGGGTTCTGTGAGAGCTAGGCGTTAAACAAGACAGACACACGGATTTATTTTGTCTTTTTTCAATTGAGTTCAGCTCCGACGAAAAGACGGAGACTGAATAATATAGGTGTTAATAGTATTGGCAACAGCTACAATTTGTGTGTGAGCAAGTCTATTTTTTCGCTTTACTTCGTATATTTAGATATTGGGGTTTCTTGTTGTCTTTGAACCAAACAGCAAGAGAATAATTTAGTCTTTTTCCTTTTAAATTAGTATAAACACTATAGTAAAGGTATTTTTACTAACTTCTTTTAAACAAAAATATCCTCGCCATTGTAGCCTGGTATCACCATCCATAGGTCCGATACACATTAGTTTAGCGTTGATTTTTAATTATTTTCCGTCCTCTACTTTATAAATAAACAAGAAAGAAAGACTCGTTTTGACGATACAGTTTATTTTGGTGAACATTCATAAAAAGAAACTAAAATTGTGTTCGTGTGGTTGGATTATCTGATAGAAAAATATTTGCCCGTCTTATGAGTATTTCAATGTCCAATCCTTGTCATGTTTTCAAACTACAAAATGCGCATAAGATATTTGTATCTGCATATGAAACAAATTGGTTATTATTGACCCGCTAGCTCAGATATGGGTCTATCCAAAAGCTCCTTTCGTACGTACATCGTTGACATCTTGCGCCCCAAAAAAAGCTGCCAAGCCCACAATAAATTATCGCCCCTTCATACCTGCACCACTAACATAATTTTGGTAGTGCCTTCACAATTTGCAAAAAACGCCAATTTGTTCATTTTCGATAGATTTGATTTTGTTTTCTGACTTAAGCTCTCTCCCTGACATACATATTTTGAGTATGCTACACTTAGTTTTAAGGAACCTTGCGATCACTCCTTATATTTTTCAGCTTTTAGTTTGGATCAGTTAATAGGCCTCAATTTAAATATCATTTATTAAAATAAAAGAATAAACCCCAGAGCAGAGCTATATAACATTTTATAGCTAGACTATGTGGACACAGAGATTCGATGATGATGTCTGGCTAAGGCTAAGGTTTTCAGTCCACAGAGAGTCCACAGATTTTATTTGTTGCTGTGATCTCTCTCCGTATATCACTAACGTCCTCTAGGTTTGCAGCATCTTTTTAATTCCACACCCAATTTGCTAGTTTATAACTAAATATTATCTTTGCACGCCGACAGCGAGTGGCAACTCCACTTATGCTTTCTTACACAGATCTCAAACTCAGTTTGGAATCGGTTGGAATGCACGAGTGTACATACAGTGCCGGACTTAAGTACTGGAACAGTTTCAGTATACTGCTGTTTTAAAAGCCGTTCCATCGCAATTTTTAACAGAAAAATATTAATTTTGTTCGATAAATTCATCATTTTTCTATAAGATTGTCTAATTTGTACAAGCGCAATTTTATTGCAATATTTTAAACAATTTTGTAAGCGAAAAGCATCGTTTAACGGTTCAAAAGAGCTTCAATATGATATAAATAGAAACACAGAGGCGGAACTAGCGCTTTAACAAATTTTTGTGTGGGTTGTATTAAATAATACCCATCATTAACACAAACTCGAATTCACCTGCAATAGACTTACATCCCCCCATCTTCACTCCCCCACTCCCATGTTTTTTATGATACTCTAGTTTATAAAGAAAAAACACTCAAAACGGTTTGGCAATGGTAAATGGTAAATGGTGTCTAAAATCGTTTGATTTGCTCAGATAGTCTCTGATGATAGATATTCCCTCCAAAACTCTTCATTTGATTATTTTAGAGACAAGGGGTAACATATAGTAACACGCGATGTCTAGTTTGGAAAATGCAGGGCCGTCCTATGCACAGTGCCCAGGAAAGTGTTGTGCTGCTCTGCTGCCGTTCGCGTACACGTGTACACGTGGCTTGCATCAATAGAAAAACTCTTTTTGATACGTTTTGCCTGCCGCTTACGCAAACAAACGCCAAAAAAACATGTGAATATATGCGTGCCCGACCTCTGGTGTATATGAATGTCAACGACGGAAGCGAGCGGCGTGTCGGCAAAAAAAATCGGCCTCTCAAGTACGATTTTGTAATTTATCGGAAGAGGTATTTTTAAAATATATGCCAACCAAATTGGACTTCAGACCTAGTGCCCTGGTACAAAAGGAGGTGAGGTAGTGAGGAGGTGAAATTTGTGTGTTCTCTTGAAAGTTGCATCACTAGTCGGTGCGTCTTTTAGACACTATGAGACAAGGCAGGCGTGAACAAAAAGCAAAGTTGAATAGTTTGAATATAAGTATTTCAATAAAATACTAAAGGTAAAGGTTCACTTCGAGACTGAAGGCGAATATAATCGACTAGAAAATGTCATTAATTACAGTTTTTCAGCCCCCATAATACATATATATTAACAAACCTTTCGATTATACAAAATGTATAGAGAATATGTATTAAACCGCGTTTGCAACTAATTTTTTCCAGCAATATGGCAGACGAAGAAGATCCATGGGGAGACGACGCCGGTGGTGATACTGAGGAAGTAGCAGCAGTACCTACTCCAGCCGCTGAAACTCCGAAAGCACCTTCGAAAGCAGGGAGTGTGGTTTCCGATCATAAATCAGAGAGTATTGGTGTAGCAGGGACCCCAGCGAAAGAAGCAAGCATTGCCGAGGGTGAAATAGAGTTTAAAGCCCCCCCACTTCCGCCAGAAGATGATGGTTACAGGAAACCAGTTCAGTTGTATCGACATTGGGTGAGGTAGGTTTCCTTTCTTTCCTTATATTGTGGTATTAAGGGAAATTTTTGTTTAGTAATTTATGGTTGTACTTGTAATTTTCGACGATTTTCTTTTTGCAGGCCAAAATTTCTACAATACAAATATATGTATAACTACAGAACCAATTATTATGATGATGTAATTGACTATATTGATAAAAAACAAGTTGGAGTGGCACGTGACATACCAAGACCACAGACTTGGGCGGAACGTGTTCTTCGTACACGAAATGTCAGGTAAGATTCTTTTGAAAACTTGTGAATGCTTCTCGTAGGCTACTCCGGATCAGTAAAATATAGCTATACAAAATAATGGAAGCATAGCTTCGGAAGATAAAGATTTTGATACCTTTGCAGAATGATTGATAACTACTAAGTACGTAGTAGACTCATACTATTATTAACGAGATTTAGTCTGACTTGTCCTGGGGGAGCGGTGGTGGGAGATACGGGCAAGCTTCTTCAAAAAGTATCATAATCTCTAAAAAATCCTAAAGTAAATAACCAATACAAGCGGGCAGACCTTTAATGCATGAGAAGACACACGGGGACCAAGTGCACCGAGAGAAATCGGTGCATGGACTACCTATGTAACATAACTAGCTGTTAAATTATTTTGTTCAAACTGTCTTTACTGTATAACAGCTAACGTTTTCGTATTTTTTATTTCAGTGGCAGTGGTATTGATTCATTTGAACCATCAGCGAAGAGGGACAAACAATTAACTCAAACATTGGCGGCCTCAATAAGAACCTACAATTACCATACCAAAGCTTATATGAACCAGAAGTATGGTAGTGTTCTTTAGTATGCGTACGCGTCGCCACTTGAGTATACATATAGAAATGTTATAAAAGATTAATTCACCTCACATCAGACACAAATATTAGCTTCTAAAAAGCTATAATAATAGCTACTAGGCGTTTGTATACCTGCGCATGTTTATCACGCCTTCCACCCATACTGCCCGACAGCTAACACTTTGAAGAAGAAAATATAAAGTTTTATATACTATTTTTTTTTTATAGTGTAATTTCTGTTAATATATATTAGAGTACATATGTATAAGTATATCTATTTATATATAAATGTATATACATATATTAACAAAACTTACCTTATATTACATACTTAATATTTTTAAGACTACTTACATTATTTATAGATCGGTAAAAGAATCAATTTATATTTTAAAGCTTAAATAGAATACTGTGCAATAAATATATACATACAAAAAGCGACACACTAATTGGATATCCCAATTCATTATTATATGTACGTGAAACAGGTAACAAGATAATTACTTAATAGCCCAATTTCAATTCACTTTTTAATGTATTGATTTGTAATTCTGTGAAATGCTTACTCAGACTTGTGTAACGACATGTAAGAGGTTTCTATTGTCCTTCATTCGCTAGACGAATGTGGCTACCGTGTACCATTTCAGTTGTGGATTTTTATAGTCCGAGCAATACTGTGCTCAGAGTTTCTGTGAAGTGTATGCCAATTATGCACATTATAGGAGCGTGTAAATATCACATAAAATGCATACGCTTAAATGCAATTGAGGTGTGGAATGGCACCATATGTTTTTCGCTCAACCTTGTCCTGATAAAATGGCTCAAATTTTGCTCTTTAAATTGTTACCAAGAAAAGAAATCAATGACAACCCCCCGGTCAGGTTTTCGTCCGAAATTTGTCAAGCTTTGCTCCTTTAATTGTTAAAAAAAAGACTAGCCTTAAAGAGTAACCTTCCTCGAGAACATTCAACTTATATAACTTGAAAGATGTTTCAACAAGGAACGTTTTCCTTATTAGGATCGAAAGCGAAGCTCAACAAGATCTTCGCACAGTACCAGAATAGCCTTTACAGCAGATCATCTGCGTCCAGTTCTTCATCTCTTCGCTGCAGCTGTGCATGCTCGGCTACCTCGACCGAATCCCCTTAAGACGCAGTGCTTATGGTGCCTCGTTCATTGGCACAATCCTCATCCAGGCATACATCTGCTGCTATTACGTGGATAACTGAAGACGGAGAGCCCTTTCCGAGTGGGCCATCTACGAGTGTCCCTGGCCCGAGATCCTGGGCCCCGGTGCCGACTCCTCCTCTGTCGTTGCCTACTGATCAGCATGATGCGCGCATCTCACGGATTCCGCTTCACAAGTTATAGATAACTTCAATGTGGAGGCGTTATCATCGGTTAGCTTTGGCCTGTCCTCTTCTACAGAGTTCCGTTTAATAATGATCTGCTTAATAATTATACCCGGCAGAATGTCCGCATCGCTATGCCATATATGCTAGGCTCATTCTCCTAGAGCTTGCGATTAAGAACCGAATTTACATATCTTAAAATACATTACGGATCTCACACAGGTCGTAAAATACTAAGTAGATTAGATTAGTAGCTTGCAGATGGGCGCTGGAAGTCTGATGAAATGCACGAATGAAGAACAAATGGAGGATGGTGTCTCCGCTGGAATGGAAGGGAAGGAGGAAAGGGATGCATGTACTTCTGATGAGCCCATAGATCCTTTATCTCTCATTCAGAACTTGAATAAAGATGCTGAGATTGGTACCAATGATGGTTGATTATTTGAAGAATCTGCCAGGAGCGGTGGCACGAACGGGAGGTGGTGTTGATTTGTGGGCGCCCTCGGCACGGTGCGGTGAAGGTGAAAGAGCTCGAATTGCCCCTCAAAGTATGTCCTACCCGAATGGGGCTTTCACCCAAAAGTAGACTGCACCTGGGTTCCCGGATTCTTCAGGTAACCCGCTCCATTGCTCGCTTCGTAGCTGTTGAGAATCCGAAGAGTGTTAGCTTTTACCGGATATCTCTGATCGAATCCTTTCACTTGTACTAATACGATCCCTCCATATTGAGGTCAATGTTCTGCTCAGTATCAAAGACTTTTTATTTTTTTTACATATATGGTTGTGGTCAAAAAAATAGTAACGCTACTATCGGCTTTACATATTGTTAATTTTCTCCGAAATAACTTCAACAATCGAGCTGATTTTTTTACTACAGCAAGAAGCACTGCATTGCTTTACTCGAAGATACAACTATGATTTCCTATCCCTTCTTTTTGCGTCATATTTCATAATATAAGTTGTACTACAGAACATTTTAAAAATGATTATGCTTGAATGGTTTATGTTGGTTACGCAGCCCATACAGCATAGACAGTGGTGGACCAGTAGAGTAAAATCCTATTATGGTGTGTTATTTGCACTGCCCACTGTACCACATTGTCATCCGCTATGAACATATGTATGTACTTAGGTATATTTATATTCTCGCACACGGCAGTAGCCCATGCAGCCCTTCTCTCTCGTCATCATCTCGCGTCTTTCTTTCTTTCCTTCGCTTTCGTTGTCGCTCTCCTGATCTGTCGCGCTCATGTCGTAGCCTCGCTTGCATTCGGCCCCGCCTACCTTTGAATTTAGTCTGCACCTAGCCCTCCCTTGGTATTGCACATCGTCGTGGATTTTAGTTCTTCAAACCGGCAGCTTTTTGAACCGACGTCCAGCGTCTTTAATCGCCTTTGAATCGATATGGGCCAGCTGACTCGTCATGCTTTCGAGTTATACCTAACTCTATCGCTAGTTACATCGAGTGAGCAGCACATCGGACTGATGAAATCGAAAAAATAATGGATATCGTCCATTAGCTCCTCACTTTCGAGATCAATACTGAGCACACTTTCGGGGTCTTCGTTCAAACTCAAACTCAAACTCGATTGATTTTAAGACATTTTTACCATTGTCCGAAGTGATAGTGTATAATTTCTGCTTTGAAATGGAAAATTCTGCCAAAATGTTTTCGATTTCCGTGCTCAAATTGAGCCCAGCTCAATTATTTATTCAATGTCTTCACTTCAATGTCATGTTTCGGTAATACTGAACGTTCACATCCAGAATGCCTTTCGAATGTCGAAGAGCAAAGTCAATTTTGAGCGAAAGCATCTTATTTTTAACCGAGATTTTGACGCTCACATTTTTTGGTGATGTGCTGCATCCGTGATGTTATGGGACTCATGTGTAAGCCGTTAAAAATTTGGTCGGTCAGTGCTTTAAATGGTGCAGAGTCCAAGTGCAAGATCGGCTCTTTTTCATCTTCTTTGTCATTGCACGCATGCTTTTTTGACCTCGTTTCTCGACATTATGATGGAACATTTTTTTCTAAATTTTTTCCTGGTCCAGCTCAGAAGTTTAGTCATCGGCATGGCACTCCTGTCGATGTTTCTTTAAATTTGTAAAGTAGTTTTAAAGGAACTTTATACGCCAATGCATATAAAAAGTTTCACGATGCTTTGATAACCACTAACTCGCAAATAGAATTCTAAAAATTGACTTTTAACTGATCTCGAGTGCCGAGTCTCTCCGTTGTATAGTGGGTCGAACGGTCAATTTAGTCTCATTTTTTTGTCTTAAAACAGTCACTTTTTCCAAGAATTCAGAACTTTATGATATTTTTTACTACCAGTATTAAACCATTTGTTTAGTTTATATAAGTTTGTGCAGCATGGCACAACTCGTACATTTATTTTTATAGTTCAAATTAATTCTAAAATACAAAATTGCAAATACAAGTTTTCGAATTTGCCGTAAAAAAAAACATATGTATATTTTTCCCACCCTTCTTGAGGGTTTTTTTTTACTTATATTTTTTTTAGCTCATAACTATTATTTTCGGTCCCTGGTTCTTGGTGAAGGCTGCGTTATAGATGGAATAGGACAGTAATTTTTTCAACGCCACAAATGAAAAAAACTCTTACTACAAAGGGTTGTAAATTTAGCTATTTTATTCAAAAGCATCCTAGATCAGGACAACATTTTGTATGGGAAAAACTAACTAACTAACTTCAGCTCGTGAATTCTTGAGAAATCTTTTCATGGATTCTCTATTGGATTGAAAATTTACCAAATATAGGATTTAAATCGATAAGCAACTGCCATACAACCTCCAAGGCTGAAGGCATTACCGGATTCATATATCCCATGCAGACAAGATTAGTTTTATATCCGCTTTGAACTGCAATAGTCAAGAATACCATCAATCCCTTTGCGCTTTCAATCAGCAGCAGCACTCGGTCTGCACTGCCATTCCTCAAAGTCCTAATGCCATTTGGCGACTTTACTGGTGTCCTTCGGATAGTAGTCCTCCTACATATATATTTATTTATGTATACATATATGTACCTCTATTTTATAAAATTTAATTTTTGGCGGAGGTACTTGTTGGCCTTGTATGCCATTTTCTCTGCGAGAGTCAATTACGTACCGGAGCGCTTGTCTCCGCTCCAAAAGTCGCTGTTGATAAGGGATCGGGACACAAGTAAAGTAAAATATATATGTATTTTACACGAGGAGTACATTGATACATATTTACCGCTATTTAAGAAATTTCCCCTCCATTCAAATTTCGACTGCAAGCTAATCTACCAAAAGCTTATCTACCGAAAGCTCATCGGAAAGTTTGAGCCAAAGCTTAATAAAGTTCTTCCAATACTGAAAAACGACCACTAGGTGACGGAAATTGACATTTTAGAAAACTGATTTGACGTAAAACTGGCGAAGATAGCTTGACATTTGCTGTAAAATTGGCATAAGTTTCGCAAAACTTATTAAAAATAAATTTCTATAATAACGGAATCAAAAGCGAAATTAGTTTACAAAGCTTAGAAGTAGGTAAGCAGAATTGGGTGCAGATATGGTATCACAATATCGATTTGGTGGCATATTCTAGGCTTATGTATGCTGGTCTCGGTCTAACTGTTTTTAAGAGGGTCCCCTTTAATTTTTAGATTTAATAATAGTACACTGGCTAATACTGGGATGTTCAGAATTGGGAGCTCGGCATGAGATGAACCGTAGATGCTTTCCAGACAGTTTAAAAGTCCCAGCTATGATGGTCGTCGACATACATATGTATTTGTAGATAACTGATAAGCTCGTTTGAAAGCTCATTAGCTCTCAAACTAATCAAAACTCTCATGACGCTAGAAAACCTCGCCTTAACACGATGGTTTTTTAGATCTCACGTTAACAAGGATTAGTAGATAAACGACTTCTGATGCGTTCCTGGAATGCAACCAAAAAAAACGTTTGCTCAGTACAAAGAGAGTTTGCCATTTCTGATGATCAATGATTGGGGAAGCTGCCGCAAGTCCCGCAGGCTCCCAAGGAGATGCAACGGAAATGCTCTCGCACTTGGAGTGGGACAGCGTCATGGAGTGTCACGAGAT